ACCTAGGTAGTAGGTTGGTAGACAGCAACCATCCAGGGAGGTACAACCGTCCTGCCAAGTGAGTGTAAAATGAAAGCCTGTAATTGTTTTATATGATGGTAGGATTGCTGGTGTCTTTTGTCTGTCTCATAAACATGCAAGATTTCAGGTATGTCTTGCTACTTCTACTTACACTTAGGTCACACTACACATACATTTACAAGCATATATATACACAGCCCTCTGGGTTTTCTTTATTTTCTTTCTAGTTCTTGTTCTTGTTTATTTCCTCTTATCTCCAAGGGGAAGTGGAACAGAATTCTTCATCTGTAAGCCATGCGTGTTGTAAGAGGCGACTAAAATGCCGGGAGCAAGGGGCTAGTAACCCCTTCTCCCGTATAAATTACTAAATTTATAAAGAGAAACTTCTGTTTTTCTTTTTGGGCCACCCCACCTCGGTGAGATATGGCCAGTGTGTTGAAAATAAAGAATATATCACATCAGTATCCTACCAAGGTTAAACCCCCTCCCCCCCACAACCAAAAAATAACTACAGTGGACCCACGAGTTTTGTGATTAATCTGTTCCAGAGAGTCTGCCAAAGGACGAAATTCTCAAATGGCGAAACCATTTTCCCCATGAGAAGTAATGGAAATAAAATTAATCCATTCCAGACACCAAAAAAAAAAAAAAAAAAAAAAAAAAAAAAAAAAAAAAAAAAAAAAAAAAAATCTTTTTCAAATTAAATAAAGATTTACAAACAGAAAACAATGAGAAATCAAGCATAAGGTAAGTGTAACATTACACTTAAGGTAAGTGTAACATTGCACTTACCTTTACTGAAGACTTCTGGGTGAATGGAAGATTGGAGGGGAGAGGATGAAGGTGCATTACTGTTTGGATGGGGAATCCCCTTCCATAAAGACTTCAAGTACCAAGTCCTTATCTGGGGTTACTTCCCTTCTTTGCTTTTTAATGCCATTGAGAACAACTTGCAAGTCACTGGACCCCTGTCACACAAAATATCTGTCCAGAGAGCTCTGCTTCTGGCATTTCTTTAAAATTTATCTGAAGTGGGGCACAACACTGTCATTGTAAATGTTGCCAACACGGCCTGCAACAGCTTTTTCAGTCGAAGTTAATCCATAAATGTTTGCACTTCAGTCCACTTTACACAAATGTCCTTAATCTTTGAAGAAGGAACTTTCCTCCATCTCTCTTCCTCCTCCTCTGAAGCAATTTTTTGAACTCTGGTCTGTTGCTGTTGCAGATGAAGGTCTTGCAGCTCTGTAGTGGTTAGCTCTTCATCATGATCCGCCACCAACTCTTCCACATCGTCCAAATTCACATTCAACCCCATGGACTTCCCGTGACAATACTTTCCACAACTGGCATAGGCTTATCAGGGTCAGCCCCAAACCTTTCAAAGTCCCTCTCTTGTACACATTTCGGCCACAATTTTCTCCAAGCAGAGTTCAAAGTCCTGCAAGTCACTCCCTCCCAAGCCTTACCTATAAGGTTCATGCAATTGAGGATATTGAAATGATCTTTCCAGAAATCTTTTAGGGTCAATTCAGTGTCTGAGGTCACTTCAAAGCACTTTTGAAACACTGCTTTGGTGTACAGTTTTTTTGAAGTTTTAAATAACCTGCTGATCCATGGGCTGGAGGAGAAGAGTTGTATTAGGGAGGCAAGAACTTCACTGTGATAAAACGAAACTCCTCCACCATTTGCTCTTCCAAGTCTGGAGGATGAGCAGGAGCACTGTCCATTACCAGGAGGCACTCGAGTTACAATTTATTTTCCAGGAGATATTTCTCCACACTGGGGCCAAACACTTCATTAAACCAATCAAGGAAAATTTTCCTTGTGACCCATGCCTTACTGTTAAGCCTTCCACATCACACAATTTACTCTTGGCAACACTGTTTTTCTTTAACACACTGGGATTTTCAGAGTGATAGACCAGTGAAGGCTTCACTTTGCAATCCCCACTAGTATTACTACAAAACATGAGAGTTAGCCTGTCTTTCATAGGCTTGTGTCCTGGGTGTGCCGTTTCCTCCTGCATAATGTAGGTCCTCTTTGGCATTTTCTTCCAAAACAGGCCTGTTTCGTCACAACTGCACACTTGCTGGGGTTTGAATTTTTCAGTGTCTACGTACCCCTTAAATTCCTGCACAAACTTCTCAGCCACCCTTAACTCTAAACTGACAGCCTCACCATGCCTTACCACACTGTGTATGCCACTACACTTCTTAAATCTCTCAAACCAACCTTTGCTGGCCTTAAAATCACAATCACCACCACTCATTGCAGGCATTTTCTTTACGAGGTTGTCATGCAACTGCCGTGCCTTTTCACATATTATCAAATGCATAATACTATCTCCTGCTAACTGTTTTTGGGTAATCCACATCAACAATAACCTCTCCACTTCTTTGAGGGTTTGTGATCTCTTTTTTTGTCAGGATATCTACCCCTTTTGCAACAACAGCACACTATTTCCTTTCCCTTCGCCACAATCAAAGTGATGGTTGAATGGGGTTTGCCATACATCCTGGCAAGCTCTGTAACATACAACTCTCATATTTTTCAATGATTTCTTTCTTGAATTCGATCGTGTTCCTCACTTTCTTTACCAAAGAGCTGGCACTAGCTTTCTTCGGGCCCATGGTGACTTTTTAAGCAGTTGCAAGCACAAAAAACAATAGATTATTAGGAAATGTATCATATGAGCCCGTGGGGCAATTGTCACTCGCTGGTAAACAATGGCACACTAAGTGTGAATCGTGCGGGAGACTGGCTTTGTGTGTGCGCTGATGCCAGACACATACTGGACAGTTGTCGAATCACGAACTGCAAGGCTATATTTTGGAGAAAAAAGTTGCCGAAAGTCGCAGCCGCCGAATGGCGGGGGTTCACTGTATTCAAATATTCACCATCATTCATTCAATAGTTATCTTGCTGGAATTGCACAGCCATTACAATTCAAATGACCCTCTGAACTGCAATCTCTGAGTGCAGGCACTGTACTTCCTACCTTGAGGATATGTCTAGCTAACTAGTTTCCCTGAATCCCTGCATAAGCACTACCATATGCATTCCTGAAGTACACCTGGAGTGTTTTTCAGGGGTCAATGCCCCTGCGGGATCGGTCTGAGACCAGGCCTCGTGGTGGATCAGGGCCTGATCAACCAGGCTGTTACTGCTGGCTGCACGCAAATTAACGTACAAACCACAGCCCAGCTGGTCAGGTACTGATTTAAGGTGCCAATAGCCAGGGGTCTATTGGCAATCCCCCCTGTGTGCTGGAAGGGGGGGCAGTTGAACAATCTTGGACCCCTGACACTTATAGTGTTGTCTCTCAGTGTGCTCATGGCGCCCCTGCTTTTCATTGGGGGAATGTTGCATCTTCTGCCGAGTCTTTTGCTTTCGTGGGGAGTGACTTTTGTGTGCAAGTTTGGTACTGATCCCCACTATCACGCCTCGGCATGATTGTGTGCAAGTTTGGTACTAATCCCCACTATCACGCCTCGGCATGATAGTGGCTATCTTTGTACTTAGCAAATCAAAATTGTAATTACACATTGTAACCTTCACAAAGAAATAAGGTATCTTATCTCTCTTACCTGCATTCCAGAGAATATAAATCAAGGAACTTCAACCGTTCCCAGTAATTTAGGTGCCTTATCGTACTTACATGTGCCTGCCTTGCAGGGGGCAGTTAGTGTACAGCAGTATTCCAGCTTAGAGAGAACAAGTGATTTGAAGAGAATCATCGTGGGTTTGGCGTCCCTAGCTTTGAAGGTTCTCATTATCCATCCTATTATTTTCCTAGCTGATGTGGTGGATACACTGTTGTGGTCTTTGAAGGTGAGATCCTCTGATATTATCACTCCCAGGTCCTTCACATTACTTTTTCACTACTGGATGGTTAGAATTTATTGTGTACCCTGATACAGTTTTAATTTCCTCAAGTTTTCCATACCCGTGTAGTTGAAATGTCTTCATTGAACTTCATATTGTTCTGAGTGGCCCATTTGAAGATTTGGTTTATGTCCGCTTGGAGTCTCATGGTGTCTTCGATGGAGGACAATTCAGGTGTCATCCGTAAAGGAAGGCACGGAGCCATGGCTTACATACTCAAAAGCATGTCAAATTTTTAAAACTCGCTTGTCCACTCGTCCCAATCTCACAAACACAAAAACACACACAACCTCTGCAACCACATGCAGGTGTGTACACATACATGCATGCATGCACGCACGCATGCACACACACATACCTAGTAGCAACCAACAAAGAGGCGGGGCCAGGAGCTGACTCGACCTCTGCAACCACAAATTAGACAAATACACACAAACACAAAAAAGGGAAAAGGGAGCTAAGATGCGACCCCACCCTTACAACTAGTACATATTGGCAAGTATACAAAAACACTCATACAAAAAAAATAGTGAACACAAGCAAAAAACATGTACACAAACCCCTCCTTCCATGAATGACCCCTATCTCTTCCACTACTGATTTATCTGCCCTCTCGCTCATCTTATTTTGCTGCTCTAATTACCAAGACCATCTGAACAACTCCTCTGCGCTCCAAGTAATACCTTTCATAACTCGACAGTCTCTAAATTTTTAAACTCCAAATTCTTTGCAGTGCTCTCCACCATTAAAAATAAGCTATAAAATAAAATATTAATACAAAAACTTACTGCAACATGGCTTTAGTTTTGATGGATGGATCATCAGGACGAAAATGTTTGTACTGATCAACCTCTTTTTCCATAGTTAATAGCTGCTTTTGCAGTTTGTCACGAAGGCTTGGCAAGGTTTCTCTGATGTGGTTTGTGAGCTGCTGATTGAGAACACGTTGTAGGTAAGGAGTACCCATGCGGTCAGCAACGTGACGGTATGCTGGATGACCCAGGAAAAATTTTCTTTCAGCTGCCATTGCAGCTTTTATGTCCTTCCGCCCCTCAATGTCCTACAAATTAAAGATTTCAATGACCATTACAAATAATGACAAAAATTTTTTACATTAAACATTCACTATTCATAAAAACACATTAAACCTATATGGGTCAATATGCACAGAAATTTTTTTATGTTTAAATAGTTTAATTAAAACATTTAATAAGTACTTTTTTTTTTTGTCATGCAATCTCAAGTCTAAACTTAACCCTTTCATTGTCCAGACCCCTGGAATGAAACACGCCTTTACTTTTAAATGCTCAAAAAGCCCCCCCCCCCCCCCCCCCAAAAAAAAAAAAAATCTGAAGGTAATGACACAAAAGTACAAAATTTGATGGAAAACTTATGGAATTATGTTGGCACCAAATTCTTAGCTATTTCACCAGTTATATTTTTATTAACACATCAGCTATTTCCCACCAAGGTAAGGTTGCCTGAAAAAGAAAAACTTTCACCATTATTCACTCCATCACTGTCTTGCCAGAGGCACACTTACACTACAGTTATAAAACTGCAACATTAGCACCCCTCCTTCAGAGTGCAGGCACTGTACTTCCCATCTTCAGGATTCAAGTCCGGCCAGTCGGTTTCCACGAATCCCTTCATAAATATTACCCTGCTCACACTCCAACAGCACGTTAAGTCCTAAAAACTATTTGTCTCCATTCGCTCCTATCTAACACACACACACATGCTTGCTGGAAGTCCAAGCCCCTCACACACAAAAACCTCCTTTACCCCCTCCCTCGAACATATCCTTAGCTGACCTCTACCCCGTCTTCCCTCCACTTACAGATTTATACACTCTCGAAGTCATTCTATTTTGTTCCACCCTCTCTACATGTTCAAACCACCTCAACAACCCCTCCTCAGCCCTCTGGATAATAGTTTTGGTAATCCCGCACCTCCTCCTAATTTTGAAACTACGATTTCTCTGAATTATTCTCACATCACACATTGCCCTCAGACACGACATCTCCACTGCCTCTAGCCTTCTCTTTGTTGCAACATTCACCACCCATGCTTCGCACCCATATTTCACTAGTATGCCTACCATTCTATCAACTGAGCACAAGAAACTGCCCATTCAACTATAAAGTGATCAGAATTTCATAATCTGGCCAATTTCACACAAAATTAAGAAAATACCAATCTAAAAATAGAGTATAATAAATAATGTAGACATTCCTGGAACTAAAACGTTTCCCCTGTTAATTAGTCACATCCCCCAGCCTCTCCTAAATTACACTTGCTTTCCATTTTGAATTCCTGTTCACACAAAAATAGAAGATTTACTCTATTTATCAGATAATAATATATAACTAGGAAAGATTGTTCATGGTTTACAATAAATCACTAATTTAATCAGACCTATCAAAAACTCATAGAGCAAACTGGAATATCAGCAAAAAATCAAATATTTCCACTAGTTTCAGCTCAATTTTAAACATACTTCCAGTCCTGAAACCAATTAAAATCATCTATTTCAGTAATATGTCTTCCATTCTATCAAATGATACCAAGAAACAGCCAATAAAACTATAAAAACCCGTCCAGAAAACACTGCAAAACTGCTATGTTAAACCATATGCAGAGTCAGTTTTGTTTTTCCCACCATGCACTGCATGGGGCAGGGTTTTATTTCAGAGGAAAGTGATGCAGTTGAAAAATACAATCTTAATTATTGCACTATAGTATAATTTTGTTGCAATCAAGAAAATTATGCAAGAAAATTATGCAGAGAAACCTTCTCATCCATCCCAAAGACAGCAAGGGTTACCTTGATCCTCAAAGGAGGTGATCCAACTGATCTGAACAACTATAAACCTATATCAAACTTGCCCTTACTTTCTAAAATCTTCTAAAAAAAATACACAAATAACTTAACTCCTACCTTATATCCAATGACATACTTAGCCCCTGCCAGTTTGGGTTTAGACCAAAAAAAAAGTACGAATGATGCTATTTTACAAATGCCTGAACTACTATACACAGCCCTCGATAAAAATTAATATCTACTGGGGCTCTTCATAGACCTATGGAAAGCATTTGATACAGTGGACCACAATCTCCTGCACCTAAAGCTAGACCATTACGGCATCAGAGGACATTCCTTCGATTACCTACAATCTTATCTTAGCAATAGACAACAGTATGTATACACAAATGAAGTTAACTCCACTACCCAGCCTGTAGCTGTTGGAGTACCCCAGGGCAGTGTCCTTGGCCCACTCCTCTTTCTCATTTACATCAATGATCTCCCCAATTCATCTCACTTCCTTAAACCAGTTCTATTCACAGATGACACTACTTATGTCTTCTACTCAAACCCGGCTATACTTAGAGACACCGTAAACAACGAGCCGCAAAAAATATCTACTTGGATGACGACCAACAAACTCACTCTCAATATAGACCAAACCTACTTATGCTGTTTGGAAACAGCCTTAAATACCCAACTTAGCATATCGATAAATGGTTCTCCCATTAAAAGACACACTGAGGGTAAATTTCTAGGTCTTCACCTTGACTGTGATCTTAAATTTCATTCCCACATCCAACATCTTGTAGGAGTGAGGAAGAGCCAGTTGTGAGTGTGGGGGAAGTTCGTGAGGCAGTAGGTAAAATGAAAGAGGGTAAGGCAGCCGGGATTGATGGGATAAAGATAGAAATGTTAAAAGCAGGTGGGGATATAGTTTTGGAGTGGTTGGTGCAATTATTTAATAAATGTATTTTCATATAGTCGGACTTGAGTCCTGGAAATGGGAAGTACAATGCCTGCATTTTAAAGGAGGGGTTTGGGATATTGGCAGTTTGGAGGGATATGTTGTGAATCTTTATACGTATATGCTTCTAAACTGTTGTATTCTGAGCACCTCTGCAAAAGCAGTGATAATGTGTGAGTGTGGTGAAAGTGTTGAATGATGATGAAAGTATTTTCTTTTTGGGGATTTTCTTTCTTTTTTGGGTCACCCTGCCTCGGTGGGAGACGACCGACTTGTTGAAAAAAAAAAAAAATGGAAGAGGGTAAGGTACCTAGGGATTGGCAGAGAGCATGCATAGTTCCTTTGTATAAAGGCAAAGGGGATAAAAGAGAGTGCAAAAATTATAGGGGGATAAGTCTGTTGAGTATACCTGGCAAAGTGTATGGTAGAGTTATTATTGAAAGAATTAAGAGTAAGACGGAGAATAGGATAGCAGATGAACAAGGAGGCTTTAGGAAAGGTAGGGGGTGTGTGGACCAGGTGTTTACAGTGAAACATATAAGTGAACAGTATTTAGATAAGGCTAAAGTGGTCTTTGTGGCATTTATGGATTTGGAAAAGGCGTATGACAGGGTGGATAGGGGGGCAATGTGGCAGATGTTGCAGGTGTATGGTGTAGGAGGTAGGTTACTGAAAGCAGTGAAGAGTTTTTACGAGGATAGTGAGGCTCAAGTTAGAGTACGTAGGAAAGAGGGAAATTATTTCCCAGTAAAAGTAGGCCTTAGACAAGGATGTGTGATGTCACCGTGGTTGTTTAATATATTTATAGATGGGGTTGTAAGAGAAGTAAATGCGAGGGTCTTGGCAAGAGGCGTGGAGTTAAAAGATAAAGAATCACACATAAAGTGGGAGTTGTCACAGTTGCTCTTTGCTGATGACACTGTGCTCTTGGGAGATTCTGAAGAGAAGTTGCAGAGATTGGTGGATGAATTTGGTAGGGTGTGCAAAAGAAGAAAATTGAAAGTGAATACAGGAAAGAGTAAGGTTATGAGGATAACAAAAAGATTAGGTGATGAAAGATTGGATATCAGATTGGAGGGAGAGAGTATGGAGGAGGTGAATGTATTCAGATATTTGGGAGTGGACGTGTCAGCGGATGGGTCTATGAAAGATGAGGTGAATCATAGAATTGATGAGGGGAAAAGGGTGAGTGGTGCACTTAGGAGTCTGTGGAGACAAAGAACTTTGTCCTTGGAGGCAAAGAGGGGAATGTATGAGAGTATAGTTTTACCAATGCTCTTATATGGGTGTGAAGCATGGGTGATGAATGTTGCAGCGAGGAGAAGGCTGGAGGCAGTGGAGATGTCATGTCTGAGAGCAATGTGTGGTGTGAATATAATGCAGAGAATTCGTAGTTTGGAAGTTAGGAGGAGGTGCGGGATTACCAAAACTGTTGTCCAGAGGGCTGAGGAAGGGTTGTTGAGGTGGTTCGGACATGTAGAGAGAATGGAGCGAAACAGAATAACTTCAAGAGTGTATCAGTCTGTAGTGGAAGGAAAGCGGGGTAGGGGTCGGCCTAGGAAAGGTTGGAGGGAGGGGGTAAAGGAGGTTTTGTGTGCGAGGGGCTTGGACTTCCAGCAGGCATGCGTGAGCGTGTTTGATAGGAGTGAATGGAGACAAATGGTTTTTAATACTTGATGTGCTGTTGGAGTGTGAGCAGGGTAACATTTATGAAGGGGTTCAGGGAAACCGGCAGGCCAGACTTGAGTCCTGGAGATGGGAAGTACGTACAGTGCCTGCACTCTGAAGGAGGGGTGTTAATGTTGCAGTTTAAAAACTGTAGTGTAAAGCACCCTTCTGGCAAGACAGTGATGGAGTGAATGATGGTGAAAGTTTTTCTTTTTCGGGCCACCCTGCCTTGGTGGGAATTGGCCAGTGTGATAATAAAAAAAAAAAAATCCAGCATATATCCAAGAAAATCTCTAAATCAGTAGGCATCCTTTCCAAGATATGGTACTATGTACCCCAAACACTCCTTATCCTATACCACTCTCTAATATATCCCTACCTCATGTACGGTATTTGTGCCTGAGGATCGACCACGGCCAACCACTTTAAACCTTTAATAACCCAACAAAAAGTTGTTGTGTGGATGATCACCAACTCCTGTGCCAGACAGAACACCCCACCACTTTTCAAAAGCTTGAACCTACTAAATATACAAGACATGCACTCATATTATTGTGCCTATTATATATAGAGAACATTAAACTCCAATATGAACCCTCCACTTAAACGTTTTTTCTCTGACAGCTACAACAGAACGCAAAGTCACAATACAAGGCACAAAGCACTCTTCGATATCTCTCGTGTCAGCCTCACACTATGCAAAAATGCAATGCACAAAGAGTCCAAAGATCTGGAATTCACTACCTGAACTGGTAAAAGATCCCCTGACTGCATACAAATTTAGGGCTATGCTTAAAAATCATCTCGTCTCTCAATACTAACCAAAACAACTTTTAATCAGTTTGAAGCCACTCTCCCAAATATTATATGACCTCTAGTCTATTAAAACATCTGCTAATCCATAAAATAGCACTGTTGAAATCATTATTTGTAATATTGTTACAGTGTATTTGTTATGTGCAACTTCAAGATTATTATTCTTATAAACCTCCATCTCTGACTACCTCACAGTGGTAAAGATAAAATAAAGCTTAATTAAAAAGATAACCAATCTCATCTTGTCTAGCCTTAAGTAGTTTTTAAGTACTGGGATTAGTCTGCCCGAAATGCCCCCGGCACGATAGTAGATTTCTTTGTACTTAACAAATCAAAATTGTAATTACACATTGTAACCTCTGCAAAGAAATAAAATCTATCTTTTATCTTTAACTGTATCGTGGGTTCTATCCCCACTATCATGGGGATACAACCCACGATCAGAGTGTCTCAAAACTCCAGACCATCCCCCCCCTTTTTTTTCCCCCCAAATGGATGGTAAATTTCTTTTTTTATTTTTCTATTTACAAACAGCATACCAACAAGCCTCAGAAAATTTCACAGAGTAAAATTTTTGTTCAGTTTTACACAAAACTTTTACCCCACATGACTAACTCATACATTGTTCCCCAAAACATCAACCACCTATATACTCTATACACTTCATAAACATTATTAATGCTATATATATACTATTACCATTAAGTCTCACCTTCTGAGATCTGTTGACAACTCCCACGTAGCCTCTCCGCAGGGGTAGCAGTTTGTTTTCTAAAACCTCCCGAGCATCTGTTCCATCGTCCATTAAGTCAAGCTTTGTAATAACCCCAATAGTTCGAATACCTATATAAAAGCAATAATTAAACCACTGATACTCATAAAAAACATCTTTAGCTAATGCCTAATGAAGTACTTTCAGAAATATTGGAAGTGGCAGGTATTCAAATATCACATTTGAAGTGTACATTATTTGCAAAGATTCAAATGAATAATACAAAATGTATCATGTTTAAGCAGAAGAAAATGAGCATTAGTCTTACAGCCCAGCATGCATGTTTAGTAAATACAAATTGTAAACAAATAAATCAAAATCAGAATCATTTCCCCACACTTATTTCGTCATCATTTATAAGACATAGTATAGCAAACTAGAAACTTGTGGAATAATTTGCATACTGTATATCAATTTAGAACCAAAGCCCTTCAGTCTTAATTCCAATCAATTTAAAGTTAGCCTTTGAAAAATTATATGCTTCTCTACCATTTAATAAGTTGGACACAACTGAAGCATTGTGTAAGACAAAAGTTTCATTAATATTTTGTAACATTGAAATTTCCCAACAAGACAGTGTAACCTAAAGAAGGAAAATGCTTTCACCATTTCTTACTCCTTAGCAGTCTTTCCAAAAATACATGGACAAAGATACAAATGCTCCCTCAAAAAGCAGCATTCCCACCTATCCTTCAAAGTACAGCTACAGTATACTTTGGAGAGAAAAAAAATGAAATACACCTCATGATACTGTGGCCTTTGTGTACACCCTCGCCTCAGGTGTTTAGCTTTAGCAAGATCAATCTTAGTCAAAGAATTATGGAAAATATTTCTTTTGTATATTTTATTTCTCAGGCTGCTAGAAAAAAAAGTCGGGAAGTATCATGTTGAGAAGAGGAATATTATTTTGACATCTGACAAGTATGTTTGATAAACAATTAACCCTTTGACTGTTTTCGACGTATAAATACGTCTTACGAGCCAATGTTTCTGACGTATATATACTCAATAATACTAGCGGTTTCAAATCAAGCGGGAGAAAGCTGGTAGGCCCACATGTGAGAGAATGGGTCTGTGTGGTCAGTGTGCACCACATAAAAAAAATCCTGCAGCACACATTGCGTAATGAGAAAAAAAAAACTGATTTTTTTTGGAATAAAACTCCGACTTTGAGGTGTATTTTTGTATAGTATTTATCGTTGTATTCGCGTTTTCATGGTCTTAGGTGATAAAATGGAAATCATATTACAGAAATAGAGATGATTTTCATTACTTTGACGTTGAAAATGACCTTGAAACTGAGCTCAAAGTAGCGGAAATGTTCGATTTTTACCAATGTTCAGGAGTAAATAAATCACACCACACGTCCAATACACGTCAACTGGGGAGTCTAATATTCTTTCACTAGTGCACTGATATTATTTATACCATTTTTACAATAATGCAGTAGTCTGTATAACAGTAAATTTTGTATTTTTTTGTATGAATAAAAAATCAAAATAGAAAGCAATAATAATATAAGAGGGGCCTAGAGATGTGACTAATGAACAGAGCATATGTTATTTTAGTGCCACGAATGTCTACCTTGTTTATTCTGAACCCTATTTTGAAATTGGCATCTTTTTTAGTTTGCGTGAAATTGGCCTAATTGCAAATTTCTGACCACCATATTTTTTTTATTTATTATCACACTGGCCGATTCCCACCAAGGCAGGGTGGCCCAAAAAAGAAAAACTTTCACCATCATTCACTCCATCACTGTCTTGCCAGAAGGGTGCTTTACACTACAGTTTTTAAACTGCAACATTAACACCCCTCCTTCAGAGTGCAGGAACTGTACTTCCCATCTCCAGGACTCAAGTCCGGCCTGCCGGTTTCCCTGAACCCCTTCATAAATGTTACTTTGCTCACACTCCAACAGCACGTCAAGTATTAAAAACCATTTGTCTCCATTCACTCCTATCAAACATGCTCACGCATGCCTGCTGGAAGTCCAAGCCCCTCGCACACAAAACCTCCTTTACCCCCTCCCTCCAACCTTTCCTAGGCCAACCCCTACCCCGCCTTCCTTCCACTACAGACTGATACACTCTTGAAGTCATTCTGTTTCACTCCATTCTCTCTACATGTCCGAACCACCTCAACAACCCTTCCTCAGCCCTCTGGACAACAGTTTTGGTAATCCCGCACCTCCTCCTAACTTCCAAACTACGAATTCTCTGCATTATATTCACACCACACATTGCCCTCAGACATGACATCTCCACTGCCTCCAGCCTTCTCCTCGCTGCAACATTCATCACACATGCTTCACACTCATATAAGAGCATTGGTAAAACTATACTCTCATACATTCCCCTCTTTGCCTCCAATGACAAAGTTCTTTGTCTCCACAGACTCCTAAGTGCACCACTCACTCTTTTCCCCTCATCAATTCTATGATTCACCTCATCTTTCATAGACCCATCCGCTGACACGTCCACTCCCAAATATCTGAATACATTTACCTCCTCCATACTCTCTCCCTCCAATCTGATATTCAATCTTTCATCACCTAATCTTTTTGTTATCCTCATAACCTTACTCTTTCCTGTATTCACCTTCAATTTTCTTCTTTTGCACACCCTACCAAATTCATCCACCAATCTCTGCAACTTCTCTTCAGAATCTCCCAAGAGCACAGTGTCATCAGCAAAGAGCAACTGTGACAACTCCCACTTTGTGTGATTCTTTATCTTTTAACTCCACACCTCTTGCCAAGACCCTCGCATTTACTTCTCTTACAACCCCATCCATAAATATATTAAACAACCACGGTGACATCACACATCCTTGTCTAAGGCCTACTTTTACTGGGAAAAAATTTCCCTCTTTCCTACATACTCTAACTTGAGCCTCACTATCCTCGTAAAAACTCTTCACTGCTTTCAGTAACCTACCTCCTACACCATACACTTGCAACATCTGCCACATTGCCCCCCTATCCACCCTGTCATACGCCTTTTCCAAATCCATAAATGCCACAAAGACCTCTTTAGCCTTATCTAAATACTGTTCACTTATATGTTTCACTGTAAACACCTGGTCACACACCCCCTACCTTTCCTAAAGCCTCCTTGTTCATCTGCTATCCTATTCTCCGTCTTACTCTTAATTCTTTCAATAATAACTACCATACACTTTACCAGGTATACTCAGCAGACTTATCCCCCTATAATTTTTGCACTCTCTTTTGTCCCCTTTGCCTTTATACAAAGGAACTATGCATGCTCTCTGCCAATCCCCAGGTACCTTACCCTCTTCCATACATTTATTAAATAATTGCATCAACCACTCCAAAACTATATCCCCACCTGCTTTTAACATTTCTATCTTTATCCCATCAATCCCGGCTGCCTTACCCCCTTTCATTTTACCTACTGCCTCACGAACTTCCCCCACACTCACAACTGGCTCTTCCTCACTCCTACAAGATGTTATTCCTCCTTGTCCTATACACAAAATCACAGCATCCCTATCTTCATCAACATTTAACAATTCCTCAAAATATTCCCTCCATCTTCCCAATACCTCTAACTCTCCATTTAATAACTCTCCTCTCCTATTTTTAACTGGCAAATCCATTTGTTCTCTAGGCTTTCTTAACTTGTTAATCTCACTCCAAAACTTTTTCTTATTTTCAACAAAATTTGTTGATAACATCTCACCCACTCTCTCATTTGCTCTCTTTTTACATTGCTTCACCACTCTCTTAACCTCTCTCTTTTTCTCCATATACTCTTCCCTCCTTGCATCACTTCTACTTTGTAAAAACTTCTCATATGCTAACTTTTTCTCCCTTACTACTCTCTTTATATCATCATTCCACCAATCGCTCCTCTTCCCTCCCGCACCCACTTTCCTGTAACCACAAACTTCTGCTGAACACTCTAACACTACATTTTTAAACCTACCCCATACCTCTTCGACCCCATTGCCTATGCTCTCATTAGCCCATCTATCCTCCAATAGCTGTTTATATCTTACCCTAACTGCCTCCTCTTTTAGTTTTATAAACCTTCACCTCTCTCTTCCCTGATGCTTCTATTCTCCTTGTATCCCATCTACCTTTTATTCTCAGTGTAGCTACAACTAGAAAGTGATCTGATATATCTGTGGCCCCTCTATAAACATGTACATCCTGAAGTCTACTCAACAGTCTTTTATCTACCAATACATAATCCAACAAACTACTGTCATTTCGCCCTACATCATATCTTGTATACTTATTTATCCTCTTTTTCTTAAAATATGTATTACCTATAACTAAACCCCTTTCTATACAAAGTTCAATCAAAGGGCTCCCATTATCATTTACACCTGGCACCCCAAACTTACCTACCACCATATTGGGTAGTCCAAATTAGTAAATGGGAGGTTTCTTGTACTCAGCTGATAGATAAAATGGAGTTCTAAAGAAATAGCTATGAGTTTGGTCAACTGAAACAATGGAATTGGCTGAAAATAGGGCTCGAAGTCAGCGAAATCGCCGATACTCATATGTAGCCGATACCGCTAACTTCGCGGGAGCATAATTCCATGAGTTTTCGACCAAATTTCGAACTTTTGGTGTCATTACCATCGGGAAAAGATTCTCTATCATTTCATATGAATTTTTTTTTTTTTTTTTCAAAAATTGAGCGACATAGAATGACAGTTTCAGAAAGGGGCCTGAAACAGTCAAAGGGTTAAGCAAAGGGGAGTGACAAAACAGGCATAAGAAGATGACATTCTAACAAGTACAATGTCTAATACCATATGCCGAACGAACATGATTTTATGATTTATATTGCACCAGAAATAATTTGGTATTCAGTGTTTTTAACATAAGTTGTCAAGATTATCATTAATTCACCACCATAATTTTTCACTTTTAGCTTCCTTAACCCTTTGACTGTAGAGGTCGTATATATACGTCTTACGAGGTGCCGTGTTTGACGTATATATACTCAAATTCTAGCTGCTTCAAATCAAGCAGGAGAAAGCTGGTAGGCCAACATGTGAGAGAATGGGTCTGTGTCGTCAGTGTGCA